GTACCAAAAACAGAACTACTAGGAACAACACTACTAACATGACTAGTTGAAGGTTCACTAAGGCTCGATCTAGACTTATTCTTAGAATAAAACAGGACACTTGAACACTTCTTCTTATTCTTAATAAAAGACTCTTCTTCTCTCTCTCTTCTTCTCATTTCTCCTCTATCCATTCTCCTCTTTTCTCCAATCTTCTCTTCACATGGTTTCCTGCTGATGAATGAGACTTGGAGTGAGTGGTAGAAGTTTCAAAAATGTTTGTTGATTTTTCAAAATGTTTTGCGGAAGATGAGGGAGGAGAGGTTTGTGCTAGATTGAGAGGACCCTCTTAACAGAGAAAGTTCATTTAAGAGTTGATTCTTTTCAAGTTTGAGTTTTTTTTCTTTTTCAAAAGTTTCTTTTAAATCAGCGAACTTTTTCACGAGAGGTGGAATCTATGTTGTTCTTGTTTGAGGTTCAGAGGTTGATGGTTCCTCTCTATCTTGCATAGTCTCATTTTCAGGTGAATAAGTAAGAATCTCTTCTTCAGAAGTTAAAGGGATCTCTCTGTCTTTGTAACTCTTTTTCAGATTAGTATAGTCAAAAGGAAGGTTTAGATTTGCCATTTCTATTGTCATCCTCGAGGGCATTGGTTTCTTCAGCCCCAGACCTTCTCTAGAGTACTAGAAATGAGTGTCCTTAGGTTGGTTAAGGAAAATAGTCTGATCTGTTTGATCCCTTTTAACTATCAAATCTTCGAGTTCCTTAATCTTCATATAAAGAGAATCCCTTGTGGTAAAAAGTGTTTTGTTTACGGCAGACAGTCTAATCCTTTCAGCCTATGAGCTAGTAAGTCTCTTAGTCAAGTCATTAATGCTAGCTCCTAGTTTTTAGTTTTCTAGGGTAAGCTTAGTGATCTTGTCTTGTGACTGTGTTATTTTAACGTTTAGAGAGGATTCCTTCTCAAGTTGTTTCACTAGAACATTGAAATTGTGTTTTAGTCTCCCTTCAAGCTCTTTAAGTAAACAGTTAGGATCAGATTCAGAACATAATGAGGGTGTGGAAGAGTTAAAAGTACTTACATCGTCATCTGAATCCTTGTTCTCAGCTGAAAGGGCAGTCACAGGTTGGGCTGGCATTTTGAACCGAAAAAACGAAAATTGAACCGAAAAAAACTGAACTGAGCATTAAAAAACCGAACCGAAACCAAACCGACAAGAAAGGGACCCGAAAGTCGGGACCTGAAAATTAATCTGTTCATAAACGGTTCTTGGAGTAAATAAATCAGTTCAAAACGAACCGAACCGATAATATTTATTATGTAATAATTTTAATAATTATTATAATCTTCAAAGGTTTGAATATTAAGTAAGGGTGCAAATGAGCCAAGCCGCTCATGAGCCGCTCGGTCAAAGATCGAATCGGGTTCGGTCAAACTCGAGCAAGAGCCGAGCTGGAGCCGAGATCGAGCCGGCTCGTTAAGCAGTTGAGCCATAAACGAGCCAACTAATTTTAGGCTCGATAGCTCATGAGTCGGCTCACGAGCTTAGTTTTAACATATATAATATTAATATACAATACAAATTACGTAGTAATATATAATATATTAATATGTAGTATATATTAGTATATATAATATATATGATATATTGTATTAGAAGCACAACGGGTTAGAGACTTGGAGTTGGGATTATATTCTGTTTGTTTTTTGTTCCCACAACTCTAGTTTCAGTTTAATTTTCATGGTTTCACAACTTTTGATTTATTTTGGACAACGTTTACTCGACTCTACTTTTATTTGTTGGGCATATAAATTGTAATTTGCAAATATTCAAAGATTGTTTCATACTTGAGCTCGAGTTCAAACTCGAAATGTCGATCTAATCGAACTTGTGACTTTTGAGTTGACGAACTAAAATTATCGAACCAATCAAACTGAACGAGTCATCTAAACATTTGTGAGTTGAGTTCGAGCCCAAATTTTTAAGCTCGTTCGAGCCGAGCTCGAGCTCGAGCCAAAACAATATATTTCGAGCTCGAGCCTACATAGATTTGGCATCAGCTCGGCTCGGCTCATTTGCACCCCTGATATTAAGTACTAAAAGTATATGTAAAGTAATAGAAGTCTGTATGATCTAGTGGTAGAGTATACCTTCTACCCTCCGTAACTTGTTTAGCAACCCGCGTTAGATTCTCCGAGGCATCTTTTTGCCTTTGAGTTCTTTTAAAACACTTTTTCACATATTTCCAACTAATATTTCCCACACCGGTGAGAGTAGACTATACCTTCTACATCTTCCTTTATATGTCCTTCTCTTTCGATAGGAATCAAGTAAGATGTAAGCACACAAAGCCAAATTAAGGAGTACTAGGTAGCTTCAGCCATAGTCAAAGATTACAACCATAGTCAAAGACCGGTGGTCGGTTCTTCACTTAGGTTTCAAAACCAGACCAAAACTTCGGTAACCGATATCGGTACCCGAAAAATAATTGGTTCAGGTTCGGTTTGATGTTTTCTAAGAACCGATACATTGGTTCGGTTTGATATTTGGCTGAATCGGTTCGGTACCCGAACCGAACCCAGCCCTAGTCACAGGTTCATTCTCAACACCTTCCTTTTCTTCCTCAACCATGGCCATCAGCGTCGGGTTGTTCTCTTCCTCATCAGATGAATCATCCGTCCAATGGTCCTTTTTAGTCATCAGAGCACTCTTGTTTCCATCATCTTCCATAGCTAGCAACAGCTTCTTCTTGTTCAATTGAACATTTTGCTTATAGTACTCATTATCCTTTCCTCTTTGGCAACCTGCAGTCTTTTATTAGATGTCCTGACTTCCCACAGTTGAATCACTTGGGAGCATCCTTAGAATCCAGAGCATCAAATGTATCAAATGGTCTTTCTTTCCACTTGGTGCTGGTAGAGGACTTGCGAAGTCTCTTAAAAGATAAATTCTTCTTCTTGTAGATCTAGTTGTTAAACCTAGAAGTTAGGAGTGTGAGTTGCTTTTGGAAGTCCAAAAGTTCATCATCAGAATCATCATCAAAGTCTACTTCACTTTCTTCAGTCTCAGGAGCGATAGTCTTTATCTTCTCTTTTGTGGGTCTTGGAAGCTGATTTGGAGGGTCTTTCAAGCATGAGAGCTAAGGTGTCAGCCAGCTTGTCCACCACTGTTTTACCTTTCTCATTAACAATGCTCACAGAGTCAGAGAAATCAGTAACATATTGGTCAAGAGTGTTGTAGGTTGCATGAATATCCATATCCTCCAAGTCCTTAGTGTGTCTGATGTGAGAACATAGCTTCCTCCACTCAGGGGCTATAGATGACAGGAATCTCACATTCAGTTCCATATTGGACTTATGAACATTGATCTTCCACATCACATTGATCAATCTCAGAAATCGGATGTAGGTATCCTACAACGATTCTCCCAATTTAGCTTTGAATGAGTCATAAGCAGTGAATGTGTTTGCCTTCTTAGCCTTCACACTAATTTCGGTTCCTTGCATGATCTTGAAAATATCATCCCACATCTCCTTTGCAACAGATAAGTCTTGGCAAGGAGGTCAGCATGGATTCTGATATGATCCTGATCATCATATTCTTCTTCAATCTTCAGCCTATGTGTGTCACCAACTTGGGGGGGGTTTCTCGAGATTTCTTTCAATGGTTATCCAAAGTTGTGTTGGATCGTTAGTGATTGAGTCCAACAAGCTAGAGGAATGGTCTTTGCTCTCAAGAAAGTTTAGGAATATGTTCTTCCATACCATGTTCTCACCCCTTCGGAGAATGGGCGGTCTGGGTCATTTCTGATTGATATAACGTCCATGTTGTTGTTGATCGAGCTGAGCAGTTGATTGACTAAACGGAGTTGTTTCTGTGAAGTATGGGTTAGCGTACGAAAAGGGTAATGCGTGAAGCAGGATCGCGCACGGACAACAAATGCGCGAAAGGAGTTCGCGCACAAAAGTTCGCGCACGGGAAAGTTTCAGGCACAAGGTTTTCGCGCACGAAAGCTTTCGCGCACTGAGGAAGTTCGTGCACGAATGAAGTTCGCACACGAATGAAGTTCGCGCACAGTCTATTTCGCGCACTGAGTGATGCGCTAAACTGCAACTTCACACCTCTGAATCTGTAGCTTATACGCTACCTAAACCAGTGTGGGCGATGCAAAAAATGATATTCAGTTAATGAAAACCCATCTTCCAGCACTGATTATGACTTTTTAACCTGCAAAAACAACAAAGTAGAAACAACAACAAGTTCACGCATGAAGCAGATGAGGTTCGCGCACGGACAAAAACTTCAGTATGTGTGTGGATTAGCTCCGACTTTAATACCAGATGTTAGACACCTGTTTTCTACTACATAAAATATGAAAATGGAGCTCTAAGATGTATAGAAGAAAGCTTTTATTGAAGGAGAAAGTTAGAGAATGATGAGTACAATGTAGTGTAAACTTTCTCTCTTCTCTCACTCTCAAAAGGATTAGGCGTCGGGAATTTCAATGAGGCGTTGGAAAGTTGTCACATCCATTCCCTTAAAGGCATATTTATAGCCTAGGGTAGGTCATAACAATGATTGGACCATTATTTAATGTGACCCAAATATTCCTTTGCACCTTTATTCTATTCTAATCTAGTCTATTTAATATTAAATACAACAAGAGACATATAATAATTAAACATTGATCACAACATAAATATCTCTAACAATATATATATACACACACACAAACCATAGTTCTTTTTCAATAATTTATTTAACTAAGTTCCCGATTCAATATTAATTTGAAATTTCTATTTATGTATGATATGTTCTATCTAAGACTATAATATTAGAGTTGTAAATATTTATCATTTCGACTAGATGATTATTACATATTTATGTTTGCTTCTAAATGAACTTCCTTTATGCTAAAAAAAATTAATGCCACTAACCATGGTTTATGCTTATAAAAGTTACTTGTTTTTGTGTATTTTGAAAACAAGTTAACTAAGTTTAAAATTGGATGCATTAGGATCCCACATTAAAAATCCAATTTCAAGTGTCTTTTAGTGAATACCCGGCCCTATTTGACCCATTCATGTATGGTTTACCAAATTTTATTGCATACCCTGGGGCTGGTTAATAGCAAACCCGAACAAATTGAGTAGGCCCAAAAAATATAGCAAACCCGACCCATTGTGCCTGATGTGCAGCCATAATACAAGTGAACATATTACTACACAGAAATACTTCATTCATCTTCTGTCTTCTTGATAAGGTCCTTCACTTTCTTGGTCCTTCAACAATCCTAGTAAAGCAAGAAAGCCAAAAAAGAAGAAACCGCCTGACCAGTTGCCTCCTCCACCTCCTCCACCGCCATCACCATCATCATCACGGGGCGGTAATCCCGCTCCGCCATCATCAAGCTCTGGAGATTTTTCCTTTCCTGAAAATAATAATACCTTAAATAAATAGCTTAACACTTTCGAAAACCATGACATGCTAGCGTTTTTATTAATTTCACCAGTAGCTAGTAGCTGACAAAAAGGTGAAAGGCTTTTACCTTGAATAGGTGCGACAGTAATGGTTGATGATTGACGAGTAACAGTTTGGGTTTGCCCTTCCGCACATCTTGCGTTCTGAATTACAGCTCAGATTAAAAAGAGGTTTCTATGTGAGCTAACTGCACTCGGCAAAACCTACTTGTAGCAGTTATAACATCCAATCATTGGGTTTAAGAAGGTGTTGGAAGCATGTGCCTCAAGGCTTTTAAGCCTCATGTTGCGGTTGAGGCTTTACTAAATATTAATCATATCAAGCCCAAAAACTCTTTGTCTGGGCTACTTTGAGTGAGTTAAATAAATCAAGTATTTTAATATGCAAAGCACCAAGGTCCCTGGACCCTAGGTACCCATTTTTCTCTTCTCTGTTTTCGGTGAGTTCTGGTACTCCTTTTCTAGGAGCTGCACTGTGCATGATTACTAGTTTAGAGCTTTTATAAAACAAAGAAATATTACTCACCCCCATGCACAATGCTGGTTCAGTAGCAGTTCCTATGAATAATCTTGTGGCTACTTTTTAAGTGTTTACAAGACTACTTGTCTTGAACGTTTGGTTCTTTTGCATCTTCAATGAATTCTACAACTTTATTATGCAATAATATTTGTTATCATGCACTAAACAGTCATTAATATTATTTAGGAATTCCACATTTATGTTTTCCAAGCATAAATGAGCTATACAAAATTGTAGAAGATTTTTTTGGTTAAACGTGAGGCTTACGTCTAGGTTTGGCTAGCCTATATCCTTGCACATTGTGAGTGAAGTACAATGCCTCGAGGCTAATTTTTACCTTTCACAACCATGCCAATGATAATGAACATTGAACAGTTTTGAAAAAATGTTCATGTCTTAAGAAATAATTCATCCACAATTACCCCATATGACTCCCTCATATGGGGCTCCTTAAAGTTTGTGTTGCTTTTATTGAAGAAAAAAAAGGGAAATGAAAATAATTAGAGAAACTGTGATCTTTTATCTTCTTGTTTAGTAATGATAATGGAGTGTGCAAGAGAGAAATTGTGATTTTACTTTCTCTCCTCACATGAGAAGGAAAGGAGGGGGAGTCCCTTTTTAGTTGTGTTTTCCATTCATACCATCTACCTCCTCATTATATATTTTTACTTGTAAGGATATGAGGGATATCATAATTTGTCATTTTCATAGCAGCTTGCACTTCTTTCTCTTCTTATTCTCTCCTACGAAACAATTACGTATTGTGTAGTATAAAATCCACTTACATTCCATCATTTGCAAAATGACTCATTAAAATGTTTGCGCTTCGTTGTTATGAAGCAGCAGTCGGTCCACGCAATTTTCAACGTGATTTTCACTTTGGATCATCCGGAAACAGTCTCTTTGTGCTTTAGTACAGAGGTAAGGCTGCGTATATCTGACCTCCTTACCCTGCCACAGTGGCAGGAGCCTTTGCGGCACTGGGGTAAAAACAATGATGATGTAGTATAGAATCCATTTGCACCACTTTTTTATTTTTCTTTCTTCTAACACTCTTTCTTCTCCCCTTCTTTTTCAACCCTCTTTTCAACCAAATACCCCCTCAGTCCCAATTTGTAAATATGTTTCCTATTCACTTGGTCAACAAATCACTTTATATATCAAATTTGATTTTGGGTGTTGCGATTTTGTAAAGCTTTTAATGTAGTTTCTGAATATGTAATTTTTTTCCTAAAAAAAATTTGAGTGCAGAAAGGGACCTGTTTGCTTTATCTTCGATCAAACATCAAAAACCGTAAAGTGTCTTACAAATTGAGACGGAGGGAGTAAATCCTAGAAGCATTACCAGCAGCCCAGCATCTCATAAGAAGATACAATGTCCAGCCTTCAGGGAATCAGCTCCCACAGCTATTTGGTTATTCTCACTTTTGGTCCCTAACTTTCCACTGAGCTTAAAGGTAGGACTGGGTTCATGTCCAGAGCATAGCTTAAAATTAGAGAATGAAGTTTCCTTAAGATAGACCAAAAGATATGTAGGACTGGGTTCATGTCCAGAATATCATGAGGCCCAATAGCTTAAATATTTAGCCCAACATGTATAAAAAACAAATCCAGTCTTAACAGGGAAAGACTCCAGATTTTCCCTATGATATTGAGGCTTAAGCCTCAATAAACCTTAAAGCCTTTAAGGCTTTAAGCTTCACACTTCTGCGCCTCAAACACCTTAAGCAAAAGTCTCATATCATTCGAATGATGTGTAAGCCTTGGGAGCATTTTCTTCGCACCTTAGGGCCTCAAAGGTGTAAGCCTCAACTGCCTTTTTTAAACAATTATCCAGTGAAAATTAACAACACTGGGAATGATGTTATGGTCGTTGGACCAAAGTGGAAACTTCTCTTCAATAAAAGGCAGCATGTCAGCAGTGGCGGACCCACTAAGGGTCCCACGGGTCCCGGGACCCCATGGACCTCCAAAAAAATACCTATATACATTTGTATATATTTTATATAAAATTAAGTGATCAGTGTATTTATACAATCGAAACAGGTTTAGAACACAAATACGGAGCTAGAGCAACGGTAGGAGGCCCAATCCCGAGGCTTTTTACGTGCAGAGGTTCAAGGATCGATTCACCAGGCGTCCACTTTTTTGGAAAAAAATTACGGAACAACCTGGCGCACCTATTGTTATCATGCACCACTATTGCCCAAATTTTAATCTAATTTTCTCAACCTATGCCCAATTTTTTCATAAGAAATACTACTATAAAGCCAGTATGCTAAGTAGCACCGGGACGGAAACGGAAACGAAAACGGGGACGGAAACGGGGACGGGGAAACGCTAAACTCAAAATATTAGGAAACGGGTACGGCAAGGAAACGTCAAACTAGAAATTAATTTTTTTAGTAATATAAGTAATGTATATGTCTAACAACCCAGAAAATAATTAAACAAAACATACATCCTTGTTATAATCCATTCTACGTAAATGTTTCATTCAGTGATAAATACTCTCTCCCATTCTGGCTCATCTAAGGATAAATTAGCAAACTCCAAATAGCCCATTTCTTCCAAATTGCCGAACTCATCTACGGAAACGCGTTGGCCCAAGCCCAGCCACGTTTCCGAAACGTTTCCTAAACCGGCCCAACAGCCCAACCTCTCAGAAGAGTTTCCGGGCGTTTCCTTGGAGTTTCCGGCCGTTTCCGGGCGTTTCGCGTTTCCGAAACGTTTCCGGGACGGAAACCTCCCCCTGCCAGGCGTTTCCGTGCTTCCTAGCCAGTATGTATACCCGAATTTCAGCTTATCTGTTTTACAAACTAATTTCGTCATGAAACACGTAATTCTTGAATTCACGCACTGAATTTGTAATAATTAAAATAAGCAAAGTTGGAAACATTTTTTCGTCGAGATGACTAAAGTTACCGTGGAGCCATCATCTTAGCCACTTTTTCATATGACTTTTTCATATCTTACTTATAACCATGCTTGTCACGGCGTCGACTAGGCGTCACCTAGGCGCCGACTTGGCGTCCTGGCGATGGAGAAGGGTCGACTTGGGAGATCGACTCGCCAGAAGAAGATAAGTCGCTCCTGTCGTCGTCCAGGCGTAGACATGTCGTCCAGGCGCAGTCCAGGCGCACGCCAGGGGAGATTAGAATCTCAATAAATTCGTTTTTAGAAGCCCAGCCCAAAATACGATTTAGAAAGTACGGAGTAGTAATTTAGGAACCGAAGCCTTCTGAAAGTCTCAATCTTCAAGGCCAATCATCGACTCTCAATCTTCAAGGCCAATCAACAAACCCCAAGCACGAAGCATCGCTAGTCGCTACTTCTCTGTTGGTGTGCCTCTGTCGCAACTCGCAAGGTTGAAGAGGACCTACAGTTTCTGCGTTCTTGCGTCTCACGGTTGAAGACGACCTGCAGTTGCTGCGTTCCAGCGTCGCAAGGTTGAAGATGACCTGCGCTTCTCCTCCAGCTTTTTATTTTATCTGTTATTCACTTAGCCTTCATGTCTCTATCCGACTTCTTATATTCCAGTATATTAATACTCCGTATGTTTTATGTCCAAGAGTATACCCACTTAAAGTACGGAGTATGTTTTAAGTTGTAGACATAGCCGAATGATTTTTTTATATACACACGCATACATAAACCTTTTTTTCATTTATTAATTGTTGGTATCAATTCTAGGTAATATATACAATTTAATTAGTAATATATCATACATAGTACTTCGTATATAACATATAATAAATTACAAATTAAATACAATTAAATACAATATAATGTTATATGCAAATATATATAATTATATATATGAAATATAATATTTTATACAATGTGCGACTAGTCGCCTAATTGTCGCCTAGGCAGGCGCCTTGTCGCCTAGGCGATATGGCGGTTGGTTGGCGCCGCGACTCGCCTTACCGCCGTGACAAGTATGCTTATAACATATAATTAAAATATCATTCTTTCCTAATATAGCAGATTCAGTCGCTTGAGCCATAATCACATAATTTGGCTTGATGTGGTTTGATCTAAGACTAAAATCAGTCCAATAACAAAGTCCATAAAGTTACACAAATAAATTGGTAATTGTATTAAATTAAAGGGATAATTTGAGTTTGCACCCCATTTTATTATCCAAATTAAACTTTGCACCCTGTTTTTGAAATCATTAGTATTTGCACCCCAACCTCGTATGAAAAGACAAAAATGCCCCTCGATCAGGATTACGTTGAAGGCCAACAAAATTGTTAATTGAGGTTATAAAATTTTAGTGCCCGTTTAGTGACTCTGTTTTTCGGCTTATCGGGCTTATCAACCAACTTTTAAACCAAACACGTAACTTTTGATTTTGCGCGTTGAATTGTGTAATAATAAGAAAAAACAAGGTATGATCAAAAAATAAGGTTGAAGTTAGTTTTCTCTGAAATTGTTGTAGATGACCATTTTATCTATTTTTCATATAATTTCTTCTTTATTTTATTAATATAATATATTTTAAATATAATTTTTCATAATCAGCAGAATAAACCAGTACAGCCACTTCAGTCGGAACTTCATGAATTTCAGAAGAATAAGCCGAATCAGCCGATTTTAATGTTACCAAACGGGCTCTAGTTGATAGTGGACATTTCTTTAAAATTATGGAATATCTTTAAAATTGTTGTATAAATCAATAATAAAAGAAAAGCCTAAGCAATAATTATTATTTTTGTAATTATGTTAGATTAACAAGTGATCTCGTTTTAAGCCACCATGTCATTGGTTTATCTTTATAGTTACATAAATGGAAACCTATTACCCCGTAGTATAATGAAAAAAATGAAATTAATTGTAACAATACATAAATTTTACACATCTTTTATGTTAGGAAAAATTGATTATAATAATCATAACTCTTGGCGGTCCGCTTATAATAATCCCAACTATCGATTATTTCAGAATAATCCCAACTTTAGGGACCTTCCGCCAATAATAGTCCCTGTAAATAAGTTATGTACTTTCTAAAGTAGATGAGAAGAGATATAGCAAGTAATCCCTATAAATTATCCCTAACTTTTAATTTTTAAGCTTAATTTGTATTTAAAATTCACTTTTATAGAAGGTAATATTTGGTCATGGACCATTATTGGAGGACGGTCCATATAGTTGGGATTATACAAAAATACTCAATAGTTGGGATTATTGTTAGTGGACCGGCAATAGTTGGGATTATTATTTTCAATTTTTCCTTTATGTTAAAGTAAGATTAAATTATTTTTCTTAAGAATAAGTTTATAGAAAAAGCTCAAAATAAATTTGGTGCAACCAATTAAATATAAGTGTAAAAAATTCAAACATTATGTCTAAACGTTAAGTCTAATCATTTTGTTGGTTATGACTATCTTAATTTTTTAATGATATACGATAACTATGAAACGTTATGCTATTTTAATATTTTACTTATTCTTTTTATTAATTTTTTATTAATTAGAGTTAAATTACAGTAGGGACCCCATGATTCTGATTTTATGGGTCCGCCACTGCATGTCAGCATGGTATTAAAAGGTTACCCGTTTAAAAAGAAATTATTATACTGAACTACCTGACTGCTAAGAGACCAGCAAACCAATTTTATGCGCGTAGTAAAGAACAGCAGGCTAGAAAAAATGAATTACCAGAGCAGCTGAACACATTATGGAAGTACGTCCCCCCTGTGCAGTACATATTAAATTTCTTCTGTATTGGCTGAGTTGTGATTTTGCATGAAGAGGCTTTAGCCCAACTGGAACGAATGCAATATGTTTGGCAAGTTGTTTACAGTCTTGATACCCTGCTAGCACAAAATATGTTTTTAAACAATGCCTAATCATACACAGCATAACTTAGAAAAGCACCCAGTACCATTCTTATAGCAATTCACCAGCAAAAAACACTCCATCAATCCTAGAAAAAGGTCCTGCTTTATCCAACTCAGCAGACAGCTCTTTTCGTGTAATTTGCCAAACCATGTCGCATACAAGTTGTGTATGATAACTTAAGTAAAACAATTAAAAGAAGGGAAAATTCCCCAAAATAGGAGTAAAATATTTTGGAATTTCAAAATAGGAGTACTATGTTTTTATTCTTTAAATAGGAGTAATTACTGCCAAGCTTGAAAAATACTACTACCTCCGTCCCGCTATGATTGTCCCATTTTACCTTATCGGTCCATCCCACTAAGATTGTCCCATACCAAATTTGGTAAAGTTTGTGTGGCTCTAAATCATTCTTACTTTATTCTTACTTTATCAATTCAATATCAACCACATAAACCACTTTTTATTAATTTGCGTGCCACCCTCTCTTGTCCCATTGTTAGCGGGACGGAGGGAGTACTATGATTAAAATCTGGTAATGCTAAAACATAACATTAATTTCTCTTATTTAGAGAATAATAAAAACAAAGTACTCCTAGTCTCATATTTTGGAATTCACGAACGATTTTACTCCTATTTAGGTCCATTTCTTTTAAAAGTATACAAAAATAAGACTAGCATTAATGATTTATAGCAATTCTATCTTAGAAAAATTAATATTTTGTACCTTCATCAAATAAGTCTCTTTTAATTTATTTTTTAATTAATTTGGAGGGTCTGCTATTGGAGTAGATAGGATTTTGTCAAAGTTGAAAGTGTAAAGAATCATATTATGATCCTTTACGCAACGGGCAAGATTTAGACATCCAGTTTCCTATACCCTAGTCATGAGCTCAAGTGTTTCATCCTCTCTAATTTTTCAAATGAAAGAAGAATATGAAAGTAACAAAGAGAAGCGGGTTGTCTTATTGATAGGGCCCTGGACTGTAGAGAATAATAATAGTAGTAATAGATTGATATTAAATAAGTGTGGTATTGTGTAAATAAGGATTCTGGGCCATGTCATAGAATATGGGCTGGCCCGTTAGGATATAATTACTATAAGAATGGGAAGGAAGGAAGAAGGAAGTTAGGCAGAAATTGGAATTAGGCTTGGGACTTGGGAGAGGGGACTGCTCGAAGTGTCTCGTTCTGGTTTCTTCTCTTTCTTTTGGTTCTTTCCTGTTCAGTTGTAATCGACCAGACTTTCATCTTCAATAAATCATAAATTTCTGCTGCTTTTGTTGAGGTATCTTATCACTTATCTCATGAAGTCAAAAATGGAAGAAGGAAGTTGATCTATGAGAATGATCACACCTCAATAATATTTAGGAAACAACGTCAATTACGAATTGCCAATAAGTAGAATAGATGTTCGGGATGAACTCAACCAATTATGGGCATTTTGATGAGCACATGTTTGTGCATGGTGGTGAACATGGACATGTATCATGTATGAGAGTTTCTATATGTCTCACAGTCTAGAAGACAGTTTCTTTATGCACCATAGTTTCTCTAGCATATCGCACTTCATCATGGCCTAAAGGGATGACTGGGTTCATGTCCAAAACATTAGCTTAAAGCTAGAGATTGATATTTCCTTAAAGCTAGACCGAAAGATATGAGAGGGCCAGACTGGTTTCATGTCCAGAATATCCTGAGGCCTAATAGTTTAAAAATTTAGCCCAAAATGTATTAAAAATTAATGCACTCATAAGTCTTAACAGGGCTAGACTCCAGATTTTCTTACATCAAACACCTTAAGGCGTAAGCCTCATATTAGCCAACTAAGGTGCAAGCCTTGGGAGCGCTTTTTCATGCCTAAGACCCACTTTCCTTTTTAAAACCATGATCCAGTGAAAAAGCTATTGGGCCTCATGATGTACTTCATGATGGTTGAACATGACCCCAATCTGAGGACCAAGGTTTCATGTTGAACCGATGCAAAATTGAGTGTGTGGAGTGCAAGTTTAATGGGGGCAGAAACAATGAGATTACCTCGGATGATATGAAGATCCCGATTAGTGATATGGTACTGAGATCCCGCTTAGTGATATGTTCTGTTACATGAACTTCATAATTCAGACGAACGGTGAATTAGATGGAGATGTATCTCTTAGAATTAAAGCGGATTGGATAAAATGGAAGGATATTTTAGGATGTCTTGTGATTGAGGTATGTCAACTAGCCTAAAGGGTATAAACTTTATCGAACAACGATTAGGGTAACATTGTAATAAGACATAGAGTGATGAGCAACGAAACAATGTCATATTCACAAAATGAGCGTGACTTAGATGCATATGTTGCGTTGGATGTATGGCATATTGGGAAAAACAACTTGAAAAATGAGACCTTTAGGCGAAAAGTGAGAGGCATCTATTGAACATAAAACGTGGGAGTCTCGGTTGGGATGGTTTGGTCATGTAAGTAAAAGACCGAATGATGCACCTATTAGACGGATTGGGAGATGGGAGAGAAGGGAGGGAAGAGAGGAAAGGGCTGACCTAGAGAGACGCAAATTATTGTGGTCAAGAATGATATGATACTACTTGAGTTAGATGAGATTGTGACTTCGAAGAAAGTGAAGTGAAGGAAGAGCATACTATGGAGGATCACTCTTATATCGTATGTCTATCTCTTTTTCTATCTAATGTTTTTAACTCCGATATCATAGGTGTATGTCGATTCATGTCAGTTGATCCCAAATCTTTAGGGGAATAAGGCTCGGATGTTGTTGTATTGCATTTCATAAATAAAAATGTCCTTTGGCAGTTTACGGTGAATGGCTATAATATCATCCCCTAAATAATATGCCCACACTTCAAGAACCATGATTAAAACTAGACATGATTATAAACATACCTGTTGGAAATGTAGAAGGATTTGCAATAGCACTAGCAACCAAGGACATTTCTAGCATGAACTTCCTGAAATTATGGGAATAAATTAACCAGTGACGATGTGGATTGAGGAGAGCCAAGTAGTTGTAGAGTTATATAACAATTGTATTTATCGATGTATAAAGTCTATTGATATATAATAATGCACTTTCCTTTGCCAAGTTAACTGCTAGACTAACCGAAAAACAGTAACAAAAAAGGTAGGCAATCCAGTAAAAGAGCACATTGCTAAAGTGTGTGTCAAATGTTTATGATTTACTTTTCAAATTTTAATCTGCTGCAAATATCTCACTATATAAATGATGGCAGCTGTTTTGTGCTCCCCAATAGTACAATTCAAACCCATCAAAATCTATTCCCAACCAAAGAATGGAGTGGTGAATATAGGGCAGTGTCTTATATAGTATGTGGTTTTACTCTGCAGTTGAACTAAAAGTTCAATTTTTTACTGGCACTCCAGCCTCTATCATGTTCTTCTTTGGCCTAATGCAGATTTCACAATCAAAATGCATACTTCCTTCGTCCCACTAAGATTGTCGCATACCAAATTTGGTAAAATTTGTGTGATTCTAAATCATTTTTACTTTATTCTTACTTTATTAATTCAATATCAACCACATAAATCCACTTTTCTTAATAATTGCACCGCCTCTTCATGTCTCAATGTTAGTGGGACGGATGTAGTATATTTTAGTATAATATGGACATTCCCAATATTTTAAAAACAGATTTAGAAACCGTGAAATCAGTCTGTTATGAATAAATACACATACAATGCAGAAAAATTCTACAATAGTACGTAGAATATATATAAATATATATATATATATATATTATGTACTTATTTACAGACGGATCCAGAAAGTTACAATGGGTTGGGCTAAGAAATAAAATTTTAAGACGCATACATAATAATACGTCAAGTCACCACACTTTAAATATTCACCAAAACATCATTTAAGTTGTGTCCTACGCGACTTCAAAGTATAAAATTCATCAATAATAAAATCTACATCTATATTATTGACAAAATCTCGTTCAATGTATATCATTAATGAATCTTCAAGAAAATCATCTCCCATTTTGTTGCGAAGTTTGTCTTCACATGATTCATTGTTGAAAATGTTCTTTCCATAATAGAAGTAGAAACATGTAAGGTCAAAACAAGACGAATTAATCGTGTAAGCATTTCTGATTTCCACTCTCCGTCAAATATTGACATAACTCAATAAGTGTCAAAACTTGAGATGTTGAAACAAAATCATGCTTGTAGTGAATCGTAGATATAGGTTCAGAACTCCCTTCACCACTTTGACGGTTCAATTTTGAAAAGAATGACGAAATCAACTTCTTTCCTTTCTTGGCAATGTGTTCATTATCGACTCTAAAAAATATTTTCAGTATTGGTATGAACAAGGTTGTCAAAAGCGCTTAAGCGCACAAGGCGCAGCGACCTACACCCCCAGCGCCCGAGAAAAGGAGAAGCGCGCATACCTGGGTCAGGCGCAGCGTAAGCGCAGGAAGCGCTGAAGCGCTATGAGGCGCACGCCTGGGTCGTCTGAGATGGAAAAGACCAACAGCATTTTTTGGGTTTAAAACTTTGAAAAACAATTAGCCCATATCTTTAATAGCACTCAGCCCATGAAAACAATAGGGTAAAGAAAGTTAAACCTACGTATAACTAAGAGTGTAAGTACGTAAAAATCTAAAACTAATCAAGACACTACAGCTATCATCGCTAGCCATCCTCGCTCTTCACTCTCCTCACTTTCCTCACTCAACACTCAAGCTGCTCTACACCAGCCAGTTCTTTCAGCTTCCTTCATAATCTCAAGCATACTCAGCTCTCCCTCGTAGCACTAAACAAGGTATGTCTTCTTTTTCATGCAGTCTCATGCTTTTTCAGTTACCTGCAGTTACCTGCATTTACTGTCTTCTTTATCCATAGTCTCATAGTACTCTGCTTTGTGATTTTTCAATATATTGGTATGTATATAATACTCATAGAGTTCTTCAGGCTGCGAACGCAATTGGAGCGTGTTTGAACAAGTAAGTTTTGAACTTGCAACTTCTAGGAATCAAGTATTAAACATTTAAAAGAAGTAATGTATATTTCATTATGTTCTAGATTCACACAAAGAGAAGGAACAAGCTAGGAATGAAGAAGCTAAATGATTTAGTATTTGTGAAGTACAATGCAACTTTAAAAGCTTGTTTTGACTCTAAAGATATCACAGATCCGATTGCTTTAGATAACATTGATGATTGGGATGAATGGTTGGCTGGAAACGTAAATGAAAGTGCAGCAAATGACTTGGTTTTCAGTGATGATGAAGGTGATGGCTTGAGTGGGGTGCTGTGAGTAGGGCAACGATCGCAGAAGAACCAATAAGATATACTTCCTCCGTTCTTTAATAGTTGCAACAGTTTGACTTTCACGTTTGCCAACGCACAACTTTGACTTTAATTATATCTAATTACGTATTAGTAAAAATTATAAAAAGTTAATATTTTGAAAATTCACATCAATAGAAATTTAATGACATTTTATACATAATAATTTGATTTTATATATTAATAGAAAATTGTGGTCAAAGTAAGGTGTGTGAATAGTGCAAATATCCTAATGTTGCAACTTTTAAGAAACGGAGGAAGTACTAGAAAGCACTCCAGAAATGTGAGTTTAAGTACTACTCGTAGGCTTGTGGATGAGGAAAGTGGGGGAGAAATTGAAAAGGATGTTGGGGAATATAAATCAGATAATGGAGAAGAAATTGACTCCTCTTGATGACGAATAGTCCTTCACAAGTTTAACGAGGAGTCTTTTAGTTTTAGTTTTAGTATTAAATCCATGAATTCTAAATTTGGACTTTTATTTTTGTGAATCATGACTTTATTTTGGTGAATCTTAGCTTTTTTATGAATTTGGTTCAATATGATGTTACATACATCATATTTGGTAATTATAGAATAGTATATGTGATTTTATATAAGTAATGCGCTTCACCCAAGTCAGGCGAGCGCTTTTTTGTGCTTTGCGCCTCAGGCGCTAGAAGGCTCCTAGCGCTTTAGGTGCGCCTTTCGACTTTGACTAGCTTGGGTATGAATTAAAATACTTCCATAAAATTATTATAGAACTAATAAGAAAAAACAATCGTTGTACATAAACCTAATTACCTAATAAGTATTCCCAATTTCAAAATTCAATTCGAATTTTCAATTCGTTCTTACATAAATAATCACACAATAAATAAATCATTCTCTAATCTTCAATTGTATAATAAATAAATCATTCTATAATCTGTAATTCTATCTTTAATCATTATAAAATTATAATGAATTACACACTACTTTATTATGCACAGAAAAATTCAATTATTAATTAAATTGATTCCCTAACCCTAAAAATAATAATACACAATACCAAAAAGTCACAAAATACTAGATTAAAAATCTAAAAGACTAAAAAGAGTATTAGAGTTAGGGGCTTAGAGCATACCTGGAGAAGGGGAGCTGGAGGCAGAGCCCAGGCGGCCAGGCAGAACCGGATTCGGAGAGGCGGAGAGCCGGAGTGGGCGGTGGCGCGGCTGGAGGTGTGCTGTTCACCTGTTTCGCTGTTCGCCGCGTCTTCGTCGCAAGCTCGCAGGGTAGCAGACTTCTTCCGCTTCTTCGACCTTCCTTTGTTAGTTCGTTCTTCGCACAAGGCCACGAGCGTTCGTTCGCAGAGGCGCAAGGTAAGTTTAATTTTGGGTGGACTGGGAATAAAATTTGGGTGGGCTGGGAATTAATTTTGGGTAGACTAGGAATTTATTGTGTACCAATTACGAAATTATGGTCTCTCTCAGGAACCGAACCTGTTACGATTCAAGTAGGGTATCAGGTTCCATGTATAGGAAAGTCATGACAGAAATCGGTCGGTCCCGGTCGATCTCAGCGGTTAGTCTGACGAATTCTTTTCTGATTTTCCTACTGATTGACAACCCAATGACTCTTTTAAAATTTTCTCTTTAAAAAGTGATTTCGAAAAACCGAGACTAAAACGCTGGGTCATTGACCGGCCCTGATAGGGTCCGTCGGGTCATTGACGGGACTGGCTCGAGACTACCCGATTGCTGATTGGGCCGAATACAGACCGTCAAGGCATTGGCCGAACAGGAAGGGGACTGTCGGGCCGTTGATCGAACAGGACGAGGACCGCCGGGTTGTTGGACGGACAGGATGTGGACCGTCGGGTCATTAATTGGACCGGACGGGGACCGCTGAGTCGTTGACTAGACAGAATCGGACCGGGACTGCCAGGTCATTAACCCGACCGGACGGGGACCGCCAAGTCGTTGACTAGACAGGATCGTACCGGGACTGCCCGGCCTTCGATCGGACGGGGACCATCGGATCTTTGATCAGACCAGACTGGAACTGATACCAGAGCGGGACCAAATCCACCACTAGGCGTAAGTATGTAAATTCATTGCAGTGGCACTGCAACATCTGTATTTTCTATATTTGGAAAACTAGTAAAAGTCACTTCTCCAATTCATCAAGGAAACAGAGACATATCTCATTTTTTGGTTTCGGGAAAGGATTTGGTAAACGCGTTTTTATGTTTCCTTTCTCTAGTTTTCCAGCAGTTTTTTGGGGTAAATGTGTTTCACATGCATCTTCCACTAAAGCTAATAGAAGATCTGTAAGGTAGAGGTGCATATTTGGATATTTTTATAGTAAATCAAGAAATTATTCATGGTAAGGATACATTAAATTGTGTGTCACGTCTAGGAAATTGAAACAATGCTACATATTTGTGGCAAGTAATTAACGTAAAGGCACCAGGTTAGAAAATGGAGTACCTGAGCTTGTAGAATTGACCGTCATAGTCGAAGGGAAAAGATTGGAAGTTTCTTCGGTATAATAATAATTGTGGAAATAATTAGTTGGGCTCAAATGTAAGTTACTTAGAATGTGAAGCTGGGTAATTTCATATTAGATTTGGCAATTGGAATGACCGGCCGAAATATTTAATCCAACACGAAATAGTAAAAAAATGTATAAATATGTATGAACTCTCTGTTTTTACATGGAAACTCGAAAGAGAGAAAGCCACAAGATTTTTTGGGCTAGTGTGCAAAAAGCTCTCATTCTCATTACATTCTCATCACCATTACATTGTACAAGTTCCAGTCTTAGAAGACATTAATGGAGCTCCAAACTTTATTAAAGAGAGAAGTAAATATGGGGAAGCAGACGGAGCACACCCGTTACATGGAGGGAAAGCCTCCTATTTATAGGAAAGGGGAAAAGGTGCCAACCTACCCTGGTGAGGCGAATGGGCCGCACGGGCCAAAGTGGACCAGGGAGCCGACATGGGCCTCACCGATTGGGCTCCGTACTGGGGTAATGTCTTGGGCCCCTAAACAGTAGTAGGCTGGAATAATATACCTCAACACAAGTCCCCCAGTTTCTTGAGTAGTGCGAGTAGAAATCTACTCGAGAAAGTACACTCATGCTCGCGCTCTTCCTTCAACTTTCTTGAATCTGTATCTTCGAGTAGGCCTGCTAGATGAGTGGGTGTCTGCCCTTCTAAATATAATATGCCAACAAGATGCTCTCCCACCCGACTGGATCGGTGCAAGGGATGTTCTTCCCCGCCCCCGCCCCCGCCCCCCCCCCCCCCCCCGAATGTTTCAGGCAAGAGTGAAGAACTCCGACCCGGGTTGCTACCCGAGGACCTCAAGAGGCTCACACACAGATATGTCAAAGGACGTGAACAGGACGAACACAGTGTATGTGTGTATGCGTGAATGTATGAGATGTGATATATGAATGTATGTAAAAGGTTGGAATCTCTTGAGGAGGAGTCAACGGGGGCTCTTTTGTTTCATAGTTCTCGTTCAAGGAAGAACAATATCAATCAACAATCATACAAACAATATAACGAGTACAGAAGAAACGATGATCCGATTCAATACCAATAAAGATGTCGAAATACAGAATAGGGTATGAACGGCGTTTTTCTCCCTTCTCACTAAAAATGATATCTGCGTTGAGGCTTATGTGAGAGTTAGGGTTTGCTTAAGTTAGCATCCTTTTATACATAAGGATGTCTAACTTAAGGCTTACAGGTGGGCTAATGGGCTAAAATACATTTGTGGCCCATATTACACATTTAGCTAATAACTACACAAATACAAAGATATTTAATTAGATTGGACACCATAAAATATTCCCAACACAACTTCGTGCATCTATAGTGATATGTCCACTAGACCATTAAATTGCTGTTCAAACAAAAGAAGCTACTTTTATTATTCTTTCATTTTAAGTTTAAACAAAAGGAGCTACTTTTATTATTTTCTCGTTTTAAGTTTGGGATATGATAGAGGTGTCAAAGCAGAAGAAGCTAGGTCATCCTAGTTTTTTTTTGGTGCGGCAGTTCTACTCATCCGCAGGGTTTTGTTTCGCAGCAGGGGTTTTCATCGCAGCAGGGGATTTCGTTTCCCTAACAGGGCGTGCGAGAAACGTTTTCTTCTTTTTTGTTTCCCACGTGCTAAGGTCCGCTCGGTACTAATATTTTCCTTTGTTATTTTTTAGCTCTCAACCCAGACGCACCTATGGACAACAATAGAGTTCTTGCAGCTGGTGGGGTCGGCAAATGAAAAAAAGCCAGGAATAACCCCCAACCTATTCCTTCCACAGTTACCGTTCAGGATGCCGGAACTTCTCAACCCGTTCCAGAGCCGCAACCACTGCAACAGGTCCATCAGGACCAATTTGATGCCATGCTGGTCGACAATCGGTTTGGTTCTGATCAGATGCATCAATTTCCTGAGCACTTCCAGACTGCTCAGGAGACTGGTCAGGGTGCGGGTGATATGCCCACCGTCCATCTATCTGGCCAGGTTGACCGGATCTCACTGGCGGATCCGGTTCATGAAGTTGTAGAAAAAGGTGGATGTTCGGCAAGCCATATTTGGTCTACCTCCGTTTCTTCAACAATTTCACTGTTCCCAAGCTGTCGGTCGAGCAATCTGAGGAATGCTTGGCCTTAGCAGCCCTGAAGGTATTTTACTTTTTTCCCTATATTTTTCTCATAGTTTAAATTTCCTTTCACACCATCTCATTTCTCGAACGACATTCTGCAGGTTGGGCTTTACAGTTTGCAACTGAAAGAGGCTCGACTGGCTAAATAGCGGGATCTGATCGTCGCTCAGACTTCTGCGGAGCAGAATGCAGCTGCTTCTTTTGCTGCCCTGGAGACCGAACGGAATGCCTCTGCGGAGGACAAAAACGCCTTGAGTCAGAGCTTGGTGAACTCAGGGTTCAGTTCGGGGCCTTCCAATCCAAAGTTCATGCTGCTGAAGCTGCTTTGGTGAAGTTCGAAGAATGCGCTCCCCGTATCCCGGATGGCCCAGCTGAGGTGAAGGTTGATCGGTCCGCCGTCCGGGAATCATTCAAAGGGTCTGAGGAGTTTGCTGTCTTGAAGAAGGATTATGCGCAGCAAGAACTCCCAGTCACCTTTTCTTCTGGAATGGTTTTCTGTTGGAAGAAGGACTTCTTCCATCTTTGGGATTCTTCATAAACTTCTTGAATCTCCTAGCAAAGGTAGCCATATATTTGTCAGATAAAAGAATTGAAGGGTCAAAATCATTTACCTTAGATGTACTGGCTGTGAGAGCTGTAGTTGTCCTCTCCTCTGGTACATCTTCCTTCTCTTCAATCATCTCGAACTCATTAGCTTTGAGGTCTGAGATGAGCTTATACGTAGGATAAGTCTTCACATCCTTGATGGCTTAGACAGCAACCACCTTCATCTTCCATGCTGAGGGTAATCCCCTCAACACTTTGAGGTTGATTTCCTTGGTGGTGAGTTCCTTGTCAAGCTCAGAGATCTCTCCAATGAGTGTGAGGAGCCTGTCATACATATTGGAGATGCTTTCTCCAGGGAGAAGCTTGAAATCACAAACTTCTTGTTGGCAATGGTCAGCTTGTTATCCTTTTCTTGCTCAGCTGGCTTCTCAGCGCCAAAGTCTTGATCTAGCGACCAAGCTCACCATTCCCTTCCAGGATGGTGACTGTCGCCTTCATCTGACAATCGCCCATCAGCGCCGACGTCCTCATATCGCGGCAGACCCTCGGTCTCAACGTGATCTTTTATATTGACACGGCAGACCCTCGGTCTCAACGTGATCTTTTATACCGACACGGCAGACCCTCGATCTCAATATGATCTTTTATATCGATGCGATAGACCCTCGGTCTCAACATGATCATCATACTCTGAAGACCGGCCTCATCCTCTCACTTTATGGATGAGGACCGCTACTTGAATTTTTAGATCGGCCTCTCAGTGCTAACGTCCATGCATCACGACCGGCCCCTCGACCTCGGCCTGATGATTTATCTCAAGATCGGATCCTCACCGCCGAAGTCTTGTTATAGCGATCGGGCTCGCCATCCCTTCCTGGATGGTGACCGTCGCCTTTACGTGACGGCCAGCTTCATCATCGCCTCGTCATCATTTATTGGACCTGCTCATCATCGCCGTCCATACATAACGAACTACCCCTCGGCCTCAGCGAGATTCTATATCTCAAGATCGGCTTCCCCAGCACCGAGCATCTTGAGCTAGCGATCGGGCTCGCTATTCCCTTCCTGGATAAGCGACCATCGCCATTATATGACGATCGGCCTCAACATTGCCTCACCATCATTTATTGGACCGGCTCATCATCGTTGTCCATACATCATGAACGGCCTCCGACCTCGACGTGATTATCTATCATCAAGACCGGCTCCAAGCGCCGAAGTCTCGTTATACCGATTGGGCTCGCCATCCCTTCCTGGATGGTGACCATCACCTC